GTGCGAAAACGAATGCTGAACAACCCCTGCGTTGTCTGCCGATCGACCACACTGAGCCCTAAACTGTTTGATTGACAACCAAGGGGGAGGGGCATCCGTAGATTGATTGGAATTAAATTAAAGTATGTTTGGCCAGTGACAAATTAAATTTAGCTTCTCCTAATTTTTCATAAGCACTGAAGAGTTACTTTAAATGAGCTCATGAGCTGCTGGTTGGAGACCCCTGATGTAGCACCTTTAGCAGTTAAACCTCAAAATAAGAGCTTCAAAAAGAAATGAAATAACATTTAACAATATTCTTATACCAAATACAAAATATGACTACAGATAAAATATGGCATAGAAAGCTTTTGTTATTTGATTTCAAACAGTTTTTATAAAAACACAAACTGGATCAAAGATAGCTTTTATTCTGAAAGGTATAAAAACACAAACTGGATCAAAGATCGCTTTTATTCTGAAAGGATTAAATTGGAAATATGACGTTAGACAGAGCTAGAACTCTGGTTTGGTGAATTAGTGCTTAGTGAACCTAACTTTTTGTTTAGCAGAATGATAAATACTTTAACTCCTTGATAAAAAGATTTCCAGTTGTTTCCATTAAATAAAGATAAAAAGTTAGCAAAAGTTGCTTGAAATTGAGTCATAAAATGTAAATTGTGTATGAATTCGTTTTCATGCTGAAAGATTTGTGAAGATTGCCATGTTTCTTTTGCAAAATATTGCTGTAAAGATTTAAAACGAGATGATGAATGTTTTAAGGTGAAAACTTTGCTCGTCTTCCTTGGACTTCCTGCTCGCTCAGAGTTCATTTCAGCTCCTCCAAAATAATGATGATAAATTAATAAATGTAGTGAGATAGGCCGACACACAGCGATAACCCCGATCAAACAAACCTTCATTAATTTGGTTCTGATAGACAATACAGCCAGTTAGAGACGAGGCTAACATCGATTGTAATTCAAGAACTCAAATCAGGCTTTTCATTCTCGCCTTTCCCTTTCTTCTTTCTGCAGACTGTCATTCTCGCCCAGCTGCTTCTCTCTTCCTATCACACTCCCCCAGTTTGACGCCCACAGCCAGAGCACAGGACCAGAGGGAGCGAGGAAGGAAAGAGGGAGAGGGGATAATGAAAGAAAGACGTGGAATAATGGAAGCCGAACAGAGAGAAGGAAGAAAGGAGATTAAAGTGTCGGCCGTCTCCTTCGAGAAGGAGAAAAGGCCGACAGAGGCGAGGAGAACGGGTCGGAGAGGGACCGAAAGAGAAATTTAGACGTGTGCATTTTCATTAAAAAAAGAGGCCACTTCAAAAACAGTGGTTTTTGTAAAGTAACGAGTGGGAGACAGAGAGGAAAACCCAGAACTGGTGGCTTCTTCCAGCAGCAGAAACAGTGACCTGTACGATACAAGTGATGCCACACTGAAACTGAAACATGGCAGACACACCCATTTTTAAAGGGATACCTGTAAATCTCATGTTGTGTCACATGATCAATGGGGTCCGCCTGTGTTTCCAGCTCATTAAAGAAAACCCGAGCTCGCCAATGTGTCACTGTAGCTGTGTTTCCATTACAAATGTGCACAAAACTTTGTCGATATTCTGTTAATGTCGAAAAAACACAGTTTCACAACTGCAGTGTTTCCATTAAGTAATAAATGTTATTAAAGTCACGTGAATACGTTTGTTCTCATGATAAGTCATTACAAACATGGCAGCGATGGATGTAAACACATAGCATGTTGCTACCACGACACTAGCGCTCATCATCAGAGGAGACGTCGGCGTCTTTTATCGAGGCTTTCCAGAGACAAGTCCCTACTTGGGAGCAGCTACGTATGCTGTGTTTTTGGGAAATTGTAGTCGCTGAGTTTACTATTTTATACTAYTTCTGTGATATTACTACTACTTCTACTTCCTGTTATVTTCTTCATCATCGTCTTTTTCACCAGTAGAAACAGACGGTTGTTGATCACATGACTCCTGTGATGTGAAAAAAGTGTTTCCATTGCAGTTTTGCGAAAAACACTAATTTCGATACGGCCGAAAAACCACCTCATCCTAGTGCAAAAACTTTTTATCGAAAAACGTAATTTTTTTCTAAACTGACGTGTTTCCATTGAGCAAATTTATTTTCGAAATTCTAATTTGTGCATTTTCATGGTCAATGGAAACGCAGTGACTGAGAATGGGTCGAGGACAGGAGGATCTTTGAATCCAGGGAAGGTGAGATGCTCTGAGGATCCCAAACACACACACACACACACACACACACACACACACACACACACACACACGAAACAAACACACAAAAGCAGCCAGGGGCCAGTTTAGCTTATTACACTACCCATTACACAGACAAATGAGATCCTGGCCTCCTACTGATAATCTGCCCTCATGTCCGCCGCATCGTCGCATTACATCACCCGGAAGCAGCGACTGTCAGGCTCGCTCATTACCATACACAACAACGCGTGCGCCGTGTCTGCTGTGACTCAATCTGAGTGGAAAACATGGCCGCCGCTTCGTCCACGTGAGCCCCAAAGACAGGCTGCGACCCGACCCGTGACCTTCTGTTACAAAACCTCCCTTTAAAACTTCTGCTGCTTCTCGCTGACACTAAACCACATCTACTGTTTTTGACAATCTTGAGCTAAAACTGTGGCTTTGATGTCACTTTAAAGAGGCATTATGCTTTATAGAAAGCAGAAAGGCTGGAGGGTAAAAAGTGAGACATAAAACAACAGACTCTTAAAAATCAAGGCAAAAGAAGGCGAAACATGCTGACATTTATGCCTCGGGTTGATTTGTCTGGATCTTTTTCTTGGATAAGAACGCTATAACTGCAAATGAACTATTTCACATTAAGGGCTAATGTATAAGAGCAACTATTTTTCTTCGCAAAATAAATAAGCTGCACAGACTTCTCATATGTTTGGTGTGAAATACAGAGCTGTAATCTGAAAGTAAAGCATAAAAGAAAATTAAATAGGGAGACCTTGTTTGAGGAGACTATATAAGGTTATCAGATATAAAAATGTTGAATGTACAATTAGGCCAGAGACTGATGCCTAAGGGCTGACCATTAGAAGCAATGAGAACTTTTTATTATTATTTCGATAAATCCATAAGCAGAAATCACACAATATTCCAGCTAATTCAGTAGATGTACCACCCAGCATTTTTGTTTTCATCACAACCTTAAAGCTTGAGGAACTCCCCGTATTTTCCCAGTTTGTAATTCATGCTTTCTGGTCTAAACTTCCTCTGCCGCTGGTTGACTTGGATATAGTCATCGCCAAGGTGGAGGACTAACGGGTTCGACACATGGGAGGCGACCATTGGACATTGCCTTTAGCCGCTATAGCTAGCGACACGCCATCACAGGAGCCATTGCTATGCATTGAGTCGTGTCAACAAAACAGTAGAGTTTCAATGAGGGATGCTCGTCAATCTGTCACAAAAATATTCATAGCACCCTCAATTCTTATCTGATTTCTATAAAATATGGCTTCAATTAAAGCTGAGAAAATTGTCGATGTTGTGACATGTAAAAATATGTATTTGCTCAAGAGATAAATCTAAAAGCAGTCTGGGAACTTTTTATTATAGGTTTTTGCTAACGTATTTACAGTAGAAGCCCCTTTCTGTCACGTAAAACTGAGTCATGTGTTTTTATTCACACTGAAGTAAAGACAAATTCCTCCAGCTGGTCATAAAATAAATGCGGTCGGCCCGTCCTTAGCTTATGAAATGTACGGTGGAAGAAAAAAGTTAGTTTTTTACTCTGATATATAATCACAAACTACAGGATATACCATATGCTGACTGGACAGAACATCAGTACCAGTAATATCAACACAGTTC